ATTTGGGTTGCTTCCACAGTTCAGCAATTACAAATTGTGCTGCTATGAACCTGGGTGTATATATATCGCTGTGATACGAGGTTTTCAGGCCCTGTGGGAAAATACCCAGAAGGGGAATAGCTGGGTTGAATGGGACCTCTAGACCTAGTGTGCCGAGGAATCTCCAGACTGATTTCACAGTGGCTTCAGCAGTCTGCATTCCCACCAGCGGTGCAGAAGAGTTCCTATTTCTGCACAGCCTCGCCAGCATTTGTTATTGGGTGATTTCTTAATGGTAGCATTCATTTTTAAAGGGCCAAGCCATTCTCTTCCACTGCAAGATCTGTACACAACTTTTGCTATTCCTTTGTCATTTCCATCAATGAGTGTTCCATCTAGGCATCTAAAAACAAATGGGTTTCCAGTGGACTGGAAAAAGACAGGCTCGTGCTTCTGATATATGGTACCTTGGGTTGTGGCTCAGGTTCAGTGCGATCCAGGGAACGATGCAATATTTGTAACGGCCCCAGCACTGCCACAGCCCCGCAGCTGGTGGCGGGCATGGCTGCCCATGGCCAGTTGGAGCACTGGTTTTATAGTCACCTGTATGTGAGACAGAGAGGCCTATATAAGATGATCCATTGCTCTTGATACAGTTGTTTGGGATAGAAATTAGGTGACATATGATGTCTCATAGCTGGAGAATGGTGTTTTTTTACATTTAATGGATGGGTTGCCATAGTTATTTATCTGCATCCTACTCTGTTCCCCCAACAGAATTTAAGGAAGGCTATAAATATTCTTTGGTGTGATTTTTTTTTTTTTTTTTAAAATACTGGCTTAGGCAAATATGTGGATTTCCTGCTGGGTATAATAGCGCATGCCTGTAATCCCAGCACTCTGGGAGGCTGAAGCAAGAAGATTGCTGTGAGTTCAAGGTCAGCCTGAACCAAGTAGGAGACGCTGTCTCAAAAAATAAAGAAACAGAAACAGAACACAGCTTTATTGATGTATAGTTCATATACAGTTTATACCTTTAGCACATACAGTTGCATGTGTGTCTATAACTACAATTAATTTCAGAACATTTTTAGTACCTCAGAAGAGCAGTCCTCCTTCCCTCACCTGTTCCCCCTCTCCGGCCTCCGCCCTCACTGATCGTCAGGGTGCAGATGTGCCGCTTGCAGACCTTCGAATAATCACTCAGTGTGAAATCACAGTGTGCGGTGCTTTGTTACTGGCCTCGCTCGTGCAGCACTGCGTTCTCAGTGTCGTTCACGCTGTAGCGTTTGTCAGTACTCTGTGTCTCCTTTGGCTTTGTTCCGTGAGACAGGGCCTGCTGTGTGATCCAGGCGGGCCTTGAACTCACTTTGTAACCCAAACTGGGCTTCAGCTCAAGATCTCCTGCCTCAGCCTCCTGTGCTGGGACACAGGCTTGCGCTGCCCTACCCAGCCGTACTTCATGCCCTTTTATTACGAAATAATATTTCATAGCATTCCAATAGTAACTCTTGATTTAACTTTTCTTCCAATTTATTAAGATTGTTTTGGGCGGGGCTGGGGATTTAGCTCGGTGGCAAAAGCGCCTGCCTGGCAAGCGCAAGGTTGTGAGTTCGGTTCCCGGTACCGGAGAAAAACCAAAAAAAAAAAAAAAAAAAAAAGATTGTTTTGATATTTGTTTCCAGGATGATGTTCCCTTTTCAGCTATTGTTATCTTGAGATTTAACAAATATATTTCCTGTTCTGTGGATCATATTATTGATTAAAACAAAATTAGCGTCATCCTAAGTAGCTTGCAGATCTTAATATGGTTTGATCACTCTCCTATCACTACTAGCCAGGGCCTCAATGTATTTTCTAACAATCTGAGCAGCTGGGCGTGGTGACACATGGCTGTAATCCCAGCACTCAGGAGGCAGAGGCAGGAGGATTGCTGTGAGTTCAAGGACAGTGTGGGTTACATAGTGAGTTCAAGGGCATCCTGCACTGCATAGTGGGACCCCTGTCTGAAAAAACGACGACAATGAAGAAGAATCTGGAACACTTTAAGGGGAAGCTCTGTTACCATGGAGGAAAATACATTAATGTTTTCATATATGGAAAAGCAGAATTTGTAACTTTGGCTTTCTCGGTGACTCCCCGCCCAGGGCTGCTCTACGCCGTTGGGGGCTACGACGGGGCGTCCCGCCAGTGCCTCAGCACCGTGGAGTGCTACAGCGCCACGGCCAACGAGTGGAGCTACATAGCGGAGATGAGCACCCGGCGCAGCGGAGCAGGTGAGTGCGGCCCCGCTGGCGAGCGGAGCTTGAAGACGCTGGGCAAGAACCGAGCGGGGAGGGACGCCCCGACCTCCCTTGGAGAGGCCGAGGAGGCAGGGGGCCTTCAGGCGCTGCTCCGCACTCGGAGTCACGCAGGCGGTGAGGCGTAGCACTTCGCCGTACTTCCGCAGAGTAAATTTTAATTTCTCAGTGCTTCATTAAAAGGCGTGTTTCCTTCATATAATGCTGGTTATTCTATTCAGTTATTTTGTTTTTACCATTTATTTAGGAACTCGCTTAATAATCAAGTCTTACATCCTTTCTTACAAACCTGTGTGCTCGAATGCCCTGCTTTACTTTCGTTGTGGAAGTCATTTTCAAAAGGATCACATTGAAGGACTTTCCCCCTCTGTTTTACTAACACATTATTTTTATTATTTAATATTCTCCTTTTTTAAGAATAGTTCTTACTAAGATCTTGGTCAGTTCTGTTCATTTCCATACTTTATGCTTTTATGTTCGTTTTATTATGAGTTAAAATTTCAAAAATTTTAGTTACAGGACCTTTGAATAAACCCTCATGTGCTCCACAGGCCTTATCCCTTTTCTCTGCTCACTTGGCTGGTTGTGTTTTGTAGGTGTCGGGGTGTTAAACAACTTACTATATGCTGTAGGAGGTCATGACGGCCCTTTAGTACGGAAGAGCGTTGAAGTCTACGATCCCGCCACAAACACGTGGAGACAGGTTGCAGACATGAACATGTGCAGGAGAAACGCAGGTAGCTACCTCCTCTGAGACCCCGGTGTCGATCTGAATTTTTAAGGACGTTTTCATTTTCGTCGTGTCACTGTGTATCTCCGTTGTTTGTGTTCTTCTACTCTGGGTTTCCTGATGGACTTCGAACTCTCCGAAGGCAGGAGCTTGTGCGGTGAGGCTGGAAGTGAATGCTTTCCAGAATATCTGAACCCACTAGACAACTTACTCTCACGCTAGCACCTCTGTTTTGGGATAAATGTGGAGGCAGACTACGTGTAGAGCCCTTTGTATTTGATGCTTGTGTTTATTCATTCTTTCCAGAACCAGTTTTGTTGTTTTTTTTTTTTTTTTTTTGTTTTTTCTCTGGTACCAGGAATCGAACTCACGACTTTGGGCTTGCCAGGCAGGCGCTTTTGCCGCTGAGCTAAATCCCCAGGCCCCAGAACCAGTTTTGAGTGTTCACTGAACATCACATACTAGAGAGTCCAGTTCTCAGGGAACTGGTTGGTTGGGTAAATATTTATGCCAGGCTTAAAAGTCAGGTGGTTATCTGAATGTGGAAGAGAACCCTGCAGAGGTAACCCTAAGTTAATACAGTTCAGAATTTCCAGAAAATGACAAAAAACTTAAAACAGTAACAAAAACAACAATTTTCAAAAAGCCAGGCAGGATGGCAGATGCCTATAATTTCAGCTGTTGGGGAGGTTAAGGCAGGAGGAGGCCAGCCTGAGCAACGTAATGAGACCCTGTCTTTAAAATGAACATATTAATAAGGGCTGGGGATGTAACTCAGTGGTGGGACACCCCTAGTGTTATAAAGAGAATATAAAGTGTATTATCTGTAATCCCCAATATTATAAAGATAATAATTTTCAGAACGCAGATGTCTTCAGGATAACAGAGAACTAACTGCGGTACATGTCACTTAATGACAGGGACAGGTTTTTGGTAAGTGCCTCGTGAGGCTGTTCTGTTGTTACGCAAACATCGTGAACTGCCTTAGCAGACCTGAACTGTTCTAGCTGTTACTCCACTTCACCTCTTAACACGGTAAACACCAAGCATCTAGAGGCCTCTGTCCCCGTTTACACAGCGCACTGTTGCACGGCAGCCTTCTGCAAGTAGGAGCATGTGATAAAGCGACCGTGGGAAGTGTAGTCTGGTAAACGCACAAACCAGCAACAGCGTTGTTTATTGTCACGTACCTGGATGTGCCGTCTTGTGCAAGCCTGTGTGCACCACCATCGCCACGTGCACATGCACCGTGAGCCGTGAGCTGAGCTTCGGTGTTAGCGTGACTACAGAAGCTTTCCAGCTCCACTACAGTCTGTAGGGACCGTCACTGTATGTGACCCACGGTTGACTAGAACTTGGACCCTGACTGTCCTTCAGAATCCGTGAAGGAAAATCCAAGTGGAAAACAGATTCAGGACAGCTGGATGGCTGTCTGCGAAGTTCTAGTCCTCTTCAAAATGCCATTACTTCCTGCCACTTCTCGTAGTCTAAGCTAAGTTCCTGATGAGCCTCTGACTCACCCTGTACTGTGGTTTGTTTTTGCAAGTGTACCCCTCCCCAGATGCTCTTAGGATTCTCTTTCAGTGTGGCTTCTAAGGGAGCCTTAAGTACATGGTTCTACAGGACTGTCAATAGCAGAGCAGAACTTAGAACTCTTTGGCCTCGTGCCTTATCCTGTCGGTTGTATTTGGTGACACCTCTCAGCAGGAAATAGTGTAGAACTCATGGTAGCACTTAAAGTCTGGGCCCTGAGTAGAATTAAGTGCCTGAATCCAGTTCGTAATGAATTAGCAAAACCAGGATGATACATACACATGCCTTCCCAGATTAGGAAACGTACAATTTGAACTTTCTTTGGTATCTTTAAAGATTGGAATGATTTTCTGTCTACATGTTTACTGTATTTTTTTTTTCTTATTCTTTTCCTTTTTTTTGTTTCTTTGAGACAGCGTCACTGTGTAGCCCAGGCTGGCCTCAGGCTGGCCTCAAACTTGTAATCCTCCTGTCTCAGCATTTTTTTTTTTTTCAAATCAAAATTAGCTTTTATTAGTCAGAACAAGAAGAAAACTTTGTGTGCAGAAAGCAGTCATTCTGCCTGGCAAGCGCGAGGTCGTGAGCTCAGTTCCTGGTACTGGAAAAAAACAAAAAAAGAAAGCAATCATTAATCCGCTTTTTAAAAAAATCAGTGAAAGTTTGATTTAGGAAAAAGACTTGTCCTTACTCTGTCAGAAAGTTGTTTCATACTTTGATTTGGAGAACAGTTCATTTAACTTTATTTGATAATCATGAGGAGGAGAGGAAAATATGAAAGTGTAGCTTTGGTTTGTTTTCTCTTTCCCAGTCAGTTAAATATATACATTCTATATTTTCTGTGCAAATAATGGAATTTGAACAGAAGTAAATAATGGAATTTACTTCTATAATTTAAAGGTACAGTATAATCCTACTGAACACATTTTTATGTAGCTAATAGTGTTTGATTATTTATTTACTTATTTAGTCTTTTTGAGACAGGGTCTCACTATGCAGCTCAGGTTGGCCTTGAGCTCACTTTGTAGCCTAGGCTGGTCTCGAACTTGCAATGATCCTCCTGCCTCATGCTCCCGAGTGCTGGGATTACAGGCGGGCGCCACCATGCCTGGCAAAATAGTGTTTTTAAAGTAGCCCACATCCCATATTTCTGGTAATCTGAAACGAACTTCTGATGAGAGACGTCCGGTCGTGTGTTTCTGATGTCCTCGCGTGGAGCCCTCCGCGCACCCACCCTGAAAGCTGGGAAGGAGGGAGGCGTGCGGCTCAGTTTTAGGAGAGGGATGGTGGGGAGACGGTGTGTGTTTGAATTAGCAAGAAGCTTACACGTCATATTTCAAAAGTTTTCATAAGTGTGGTGAATTGTGACATGAGAGTGGAAGACAGTGAAAAATTATGACATCAAGAATGAAGGAAAGATGCCAGGGATCTAGCTCGGCGGCACAGTGCCTGCCTGTTAAGCAAAAGGTCCTGAGTTCGATTGCTGCACCAAAAAAAAAAAACAAATGAAGGAAAATGTGAATGAGATTGCAAGCAGCTGACAGTCCTTATCAACCTGTAATAGGTTTTCATTCCTACTTGTGACAAAGCAACCCGACAGAGCCGTCTAACACGGAAGGGCAGGGCGTCATTTTGGCACAGTGCTTGGGCTCCCATCTGCCTCAGAGGACTCTGGTGTTGTGAGTTTGCGAATTAGTGAGCTGACATCTTTTGATATGTTCAGAAGTGTGGAGACCAGCCTCCTCTTCCGCAGCGGGATGCTCCTGCATCTCTGGCCCCTCCTGGATGTCACTGGGGAGCTCTGCAGTGACGCACAGCCACACACTCTTCCCCCCTCGCAGCAAGGCCCCTGGAATGGCATTTGTCGCTCACCGGCCTGTGCGGTCTCCAGTGAGCTAGAATAGGGACTTGCGTACAGCTGCACCCCTGCGGAGCGCGGGTGGCAGCGTTACTGTGTTTGGTTCTTACTTTTGGGCATCGGAACTGCTTTAAACTGGTACGTGTTTGCTCTCTATGCCAAGACTGGGTAGGAAGGCAGTGGAGTTTGAGTGAAATAGGGTCCACGCTTTTGGGTGCACTTTTAAGTGCTGTGTAGAAGTTTGGGCTCATTAATTTGTTAAAAGTATGCGAGTATCCGTTAGTTAGGTCAGCAGAACCCCTACAGCACTGTGGACACGAGTGTGTGAGCAGCACCCTTCGGGATTCTTCGATGCCCTCGGTTACAATTCAATTCAGGACATTACGTATACTTTAAACAAAATTAAATTGAAATAAAGAGCTTTCGGAAGGTGTTTGCCTTTTGATTCAGCAGTTTTCTTTCTAAAAATCTATACTGAGAATTAATTGCACATTCAAAAAAATGATGACTAGGGAGTCTTTGTTCATTGCATTGTTGGCAAAAGCAAAGACCCTGAAAATAAACAGGTATCATCAGTACAAAAGAATAAATCATTAAGGTGTTGCACACAGGATACATGGCGTGCTGCGCAGCCCAAGGCTGTGAAGGTGAATATTTATGAACTCAGGGACGTATCCAAGGTGTATTGTCTGTCGGGGCGGGTATTCAATAGCACATGTAATATTAACTACTTTGAGGTAAAGAATGAAGTGTCTACGTTCACAGAGAAGTTAGGCGTGTTAGAGATCAAAATTTCCATGGTCTTCTGTAAGTTTTTTTAATTTTTTCAAAAAATGGGAGTTATTCTAGATATCAAATAATATTGCTCTCTTAAAGGAGATAAAATAACTGATCACTGAACATAAAACTCAGTATTAAAAATGTATTTTAACTTCTGTGAATATATCCTTTCCGAAGGATTCCCTGAGAAAGCCGCCTTTGACCTTTAATTTTCTATTTCTTTAATAAAATGAAAATCAGAACAGTTTCTAACCTACGAAGTAAGGTGCCTGTTAGTGTAAATGAACCGGTGCAGCGAGTGCACGGATGGCCGGCAGCAGGCGCTGGCGAGCGGAGCGGAGACCCCCGCACGCAGAGGCGTCCTTCCCGCGTCCCGCGAGAGGGCTGTTCGGTCTGCCCGCGCCGCACGTCGCAGGCTGTCCCCGTGCAGCCAAGGCTTTGAACACTTGTTCTCTGTCCGCATCCTTCCCAGGAGTTTGTGCAGTTAATGGCCTGCTGTATGTCGTCGGAGGGGATGACGGTTCCTGTAACTTGGCGTCGGTAGAATATTATAACCCAACAACAGATAAATGGACAGTGGTATCCTCGTGTATGAGCACAGGGAGAAGCTATGCAGGTGAGTTGTCTCCTTTTCTTAGTCTTTTATTCCAAAAAACGGCATCATTAGTAATAAGGTTTTTGTTATAAAAGGAAAATATTTTCTCAAAGTGTACTTTATATCTTATTATTAAAGTTATTTACCTTAGATGTGTACATTCTAAAATAAAGCACTTGGATCCTTGCTCATTCTCTAGTCCTTCGCAGTTACAGTCCCAAATCTGCACCACACGGAGTCCTGTGAGGCACGCCGCCCCGCGTGGCCAGGCTTTAGTTCTGCCACTCCCATGCCACGATCCAAGGGACAGTGTCGTCCTGAGGTGTGGACCGATTTTCTTTCTTCAGCTTCCCATTGAATTAGAAAAGAACAACTTTTGGGGCTGGGGATTTAGCTCAGCGGCAAAAGCGCCTGCCTGGCAAGCGCAAGGTCGTGAGTTCGGTAAAATAGATATAAAGATGAGGCTTTACTGTTCTGCAGTGTCGGTATTTGTAAGTATTAGAATGTTTCTGTAACAAAATTGGCCTTAACAATGAAGAAAAACTTTATATTAATTAATCCTGCATGATGCTTATGCTTCTAAGGTAACACTTCAGAGAACTATGTTCAGAGAACTGTGTAGAGCAGCATCCCAGAATAGCACGGCCTGTTATTAGACACATGTTGATTCCCTTCCCATCTTCACGATAATGAACTTGTCTATTGCCCACCTCTCAAATTCCTCCTGCCGCTTTGAATACTAAGGGAATTTGGTATTTTCTGAGGAAAGTTATTTCCCACCAGTTGTAATTATAGAGAGCAAAGACTAGTTCTGGATTTAATAATCCTGGCTCATAACTAAATAGAAGCCAGGCGTAGTGGCACACACCTATAATCCCAGCACTTGGGAGGCTGAGGCAGGAGGATCGCTGCGAGTTCGAGGCCAGCCTGGGCTACAAAATGAG